CGGGATATAAAGCATGCGTCCGTACTGTAACAGTAGGCCGAACTCAATTGATCCAATACCCAATAATATTGTGAAAATCCAATAGATTGTGTGACCAATATTATTGGTTCCAATAGATTGGGTGACCGATATTATTGGTTCCAATAGATTGTGTGACCAATATTATTGGTTCCAATAGATTGGGTGACCAATATTATTGGGACCCAATATATTGTATTGGTGCATGCCTAGTTCAGCGTGGAGCAAGCACCAAATTTTCTAATGTCTACTATAAAAATGAGTTCCTGAGGCTGTAAAAACTCTCTCTCGCCCAAAAAGTGCTAGCAAATTTTATGTTCTGCCTAATTTTAACCAGACTTGACTTGACTTAGCCGAAAAAAGTTTCAAGGGATGAATTGACTTGGGAGAAATAGTTTTCCGACCTTGACTTGACTTGACTTATGACTTGCAAAACCTCTGACTTGTACAGCTCTGTCTATAACTAGTTTTTAGTAATGAGAGGTTGATGTAGGTAAGTGGGATTAGTTTATTTCATTATAAAAACCGAGATTTTATAAAAAGTGTCTCAGCCGTTTGGAGAATATATTTTCCTTGAAACAGGATATTTATGCTAAGTTGTACTATATATCACAACTGTTATATATTATTTGAAATCTCATTTTGTAGCTCGGCTTAAGCGCGCGTGATGGAATTACATTTTTTCAACTTTTGAGCTTTGCTTCTCCTCAAATACTAAGCAAAAGACCACGAAATTTTTATCAGAGATGTGTTGCAGAATGCTTGGTCTGTAGTAACGAATCGGTTAAGTAGAACGATTTTTATGAGCAAAATAGATGTCGTGACAGAATTACATTTTTTAGCCTTTTTTTCCCGGTGCTCTACAATCTTTGAAAAATGCTCTAAAACGAGACATATTCAGAAAAAAGTCTAATATAAAAGTTATAGGGCATGAAAAGAGCTTTCGAATCATCTCTTTACTTTCACTTAAAAATGCATAAGCGAGAAGATACAAGCGAAATGGCTTTTTGACGGAATTACATCATTTTTTTTACTTTGTTTTGCGGTGGGTTTTATCGTTATATTTCTACCGGCAAAACGACTTCTATAAATTTGATTTGCACGGAGCTTTATGCAATCGAGTGCCCTCTATCAAACTAAGCGAAAAAACCGGTAGGAGAAATGTTTTTCATTTTCGCACAATTGCTCCAAAAAAAGTACCATTTCGAATTCGGCGAAAACCAGCAAAAACTTGTTTAGTGTGTAAAATGCGTTTTTTAAGATTGTTTTGACCAAGCCAATAGTGTATTTTGTAGAGAATTTAATTCTCCATCCAGCGATCTACTTCTGAAATTTTTAAAAAGCTAAGTCGGTCAGAAAATTGAAATAAAAAAGCTTCCAAGTTTTAAATTTGAATTTTCGATTCAAAAATTTGATTTTCGTTCGTTTTAAAGTTGATATTCGTAATCAGAGCAAAAAACTGCGTCTAGCGATGTGCTTTTAAGGCTGGTTTAAGAGAAAAAATATCACCGCAGCTGAGGATGCCAGTTACGCGTTTTAGGCGAGCCACATTTCTGTATCTCATACATACGGAAAACGTCATTCTGTGGTCAAGTATGTCGCGAAATATTTCTGGCTATCAAAGGAAAGCTCATACTTATACAATGTTTTATATGTCCTACGATGAACTTCTGAGATACAATTTGAGATATATCGCGTAGAGAAAAAAGTATTTTTGACCCTTACCCTTACAGAAACCAAACTTCATCTTTACCTCTAAGAATTTATTGTTAAACATATTATAGTCTGGCATATTAGTCTTAGTAATATTCCTAAGTGGCTAGCTCTGACACCTTGTGCAGCACGCCCCGTGCCCCATCCGTGTACGAGGAACAGCTTTTATGAAAGTTTTCTTTCCTTACCTCATAAACTAAACATAAGACACTGAGACGTTGTGACGTTAATTTACCACATTATAAGAATTTTCGGAGAACTGTGACGTTTATTGGTACTCGAGCCTTCCCAGAACGGCAAACTCTCCAGTATGCTTCTCAACACAGATTTTTTCTAATCAAGATGTTGTCATCACCAGGAATTATAGCTATAATTCCTGGTGATGACAACATCTAAAGGTTGACATCTAGAAGTGATATCGGATATCACTTTACTGATCGAAGATGTCTAATTAGAGCTATATATTTTTTTAATTTTAATGCAAGGTTAATGTATCAAACAATCGGATAAAAATGTTTTTTGACAATAAAGAAGTGGCTCAGAATGTTACGACTGGTACAAAAAGAAGAGAAGGTAAAGCGTGTTTTCAAATTGAACATATACCTCTTTTTCATCGTATTGTTTATGAATTAAGGGTAGAGTAGACTAGGTGGTGATATCGGAAAGTGGGAAAAGAAGTTATTTTTACACATAATTCGAGCTTTTTCTTTTCTTTTTAACCCTATTTTGCTCCACTACTCCTACATTTACCTCTACAAAAACTTTTAAAATTTTGTAGTACGATCGAATTATTCAAATGATCAAGAGACACAGCCGCTTCAAAGCTTTATGGGAGTGTCCGTGTACGCATTGAAAAACTGTACCACGTGGGGAAATTGTTTTTTTCTTAAAAATCTATCACTTGGATTCCATATATTCCGAATTACTTTTAAATTCTTACTAGTTCATTTTGACAATCGCTCCCATAATATATGATTTTTTTAAAAAGCACGTTGAATTTTTCCTGACCTGTCCATTTAAGAAGTTTAATTCTAGTGGTGACAGACATTGTTTAATCTTATTTTGTTAAGAGTGAATAAAATTGAACATGATGTAAAAATTATTAAATTCTTGAAATTAAATCTCAGTTGAAAAAATTCAAAACAGATGGAAGTGTTTTGGTTTTAAAATATCTTACCGATAAGGGCTGAATTGAGAGCTTTTTAAAAAGCACATTTTTTTCCGATTTTTCTATCCAGTTTTGATAGGACTTATCGGATTAAAAAATCCTCACGTTGCGGACAAATCCTGGTTACTTCAAAATCTTAGTTTATCGATCTATTGACGCATTTTGTTTAGGCGAAAATGCGATCGAAATTGAGCACGGTTTGTTTAAATGGTCAAACGATGATCATAATACATTAACATTGAACAAGTACGGTTTGTTACTTTGTTTCTCTTACTTTAGCACATACTTTATTGACGTAGATACTTTTTTAAATCTATTACCCAGTTGACTAACGTATCTTGTTTCACTTAACTTAGTATCAACTTGAATATCCGACACGGTTCATATGTTGGTATTACCGGCAAAGTTGGTTCTGGGAAATCAAGTATATTATCAGCAATACTTGGAGACATGGTAAAAGTACAAGGAAATATTAAGATTTCTGGTCAAACTGCACTAGTACCGCAGCAAGCATGGATATTGAATGGAACATTTCAAAATAATATTTTGTTTGGAAAAGACATGAATCAACAACAATATGATCGAATTATAGAAGCCTGTGCATTAGGACCTGATCTAGAGATGTTGCCACATGGTGACCAAACCGAAATTGGCGAAAGAGTAAGCATTCATCTATGTCGTTGCTCTTTGAATTGTTAAGTGCTCTGCTAAAGAGTTCTATTCTGAAGTTACCTTCTGTCACTGCATGACTTACGTCTTATGATCTCTAGTTACCTACTAATTGTAGACCAATGTCTCTTTTATCTTCTTTGTCTAAAATAGTCGAGCGTGTTATCACTTTATCTATCGTGAGCTAATAATCCGAATAATCACATGAAAACACATTTAAAAACACAGCTGTTTATATATAAAATTTATATATAGTTGAACATACGAGTAACACATGGAAGAGACTAATGACGTCAGTAGTACAGGACAGAACATGACATAAGAAGAACAGAAATGGACATGAGCATGTAACATGAGCAAGAACAAAGAATAGTCACTTTCTAAACATGTACAGCGTTTCCGATTTGGCGGGGAAGTGAGGGACCTCCCCATCCTAAATTTTGACACTGTCCGCCAAACTTTTGAAATTTATGTTCTGCCTTCTTTTAAGTTCTGATTGTCCGTCAGAATAACTGACAGACAGTCTTTTAAGTTCTTTATTGTTGGGTCAAACGAAGCAGAACGGGTTTTTAGCACACTTCGTCGAATGAAAACATTCAAACTTTCAAACTTAAGTATCTTCCTCCGTTCATTGTCAATCACTATGACTACAGCCCAGTTTGTTACTTTTTCGTGACTAATTTTTTTTGGTAAAAATACTAACTTATATCAGAAGTAATTTGAAAAGTAGATTTTACTTAGATTATCTCTTTTTTGACGCTCGTCTATCTAGAACATACGAATATCCTAAATAAAATCTATTAGTAATGTAAAACATATGACATTAGGGATCTTTAGGGTGTTAATTTGTCTGGCGGACAGAAACAGCGTATATCATTAGCTCGCTCAATTTACGCTGATGCTGACATATACTTACTTGATGATCCCTTAAGTGCAGTTGATCAAAATGTCGCTAAACATCTCGTTCAATATGTTCTTGGACCAACTGGATTATTAGCTGAAAAGGTAAACAAGAGAAAATCCGTTTTAGAAAAAATACAGCTCAGTTAAATAAAGTATATTATTTATTTATAGACTCGTATATTGGTAACACATGGAATAGTCCATTTTCAGGAATGCGAGATGATTATTATTATGTCAAATGGTGAAATAATTGATTGTGATAGATATGAAAATTTGGTGAAAAAAGATAAAATATTACAAGAATTCATTTTATCATTCAATATTAACACATACAATGATTCTCGTAAGCGACAGCTTGTATTTTCTATTCATAAGTTTTCAGGCTTCACAGCCTCGGGAAGGTCCCCGAGTTCATTGCCAAAGATCACAAAATTAGATAATCGATTTTGTTCAGCAGTTTTTCATGCTGATTTCGCATCTACAAATCACTGGTGCGACGCCCATGGCACCGTTGAAAGGTTATACAGAAATCGTTCTTGATTCATCCGTATCTATAATGAAGCACAGCCTGTACTATTGAAAACTGTAAATCGTCACAGCAAGTTTTGATAAAGTTAGTAGCTCTACAGTTTTGTAGAGAAAGACTCGTCCTAACATTATTTCTTTTTGAAACATGAAGTCATTTTCTTCTGCTAGCTTCTTTAGAAATAAGTATGTCTCATTAGGATTTACTTTTTATCAATGTTTATGATCATTCACAAAAAATGATGAAATCACACTTTCATCGCAATGACTGCATGAAATAAACGCAAACTCAGTACACGATGCGATTGAACAAAAATCATCAGTAAAAGAGAATCAGACATCATAGACATTCTGAAAGTGATCAGGATCTTTTTTTAAATGTTCTGAAGAATACCAAGAATATTTGATCATGTTCTGAAATTTCGGCGACGATAACGTTCATTTATCAGTGTTTAAAAGAGCAAACTTGTTCAGACGTTGAAAAAGAACGAAAAGAAAACATGTTCTACTTTTTAGATGTAAGAAGATTCTTCAAGATCACTTTCAAGGTATTGTTCTCATCCGTATTTGATATAACATGTTTCAAACTACTTGAACTCTTTGAGCTGGTAAAACGTTCATTACTGATACGGACGAGTCGAAAACGTTTTTCTCTGTAACCTTTCAACGAAGCAATGATTGTATCTGTGATTTGTAGATTCGAAATCAGAACGAAAAACTGAACTAAATTGCTTATTTAGTTTTGTGACCTTTGGCAATAAACTCGAGATCTTCACTTGAGTGACAGAATCTTTTGTGTGCAATGTAGCAGCCTTAAAAATGTGTTTTGCTGGAGATGAAAATATCTTTCGTATATTATTCGTAGCGTCCAAAGCGGAGATATCATTGAATACTCAAAGCCATGTTGATGGAAAAAAGTCGCCAGTTGAGTTTGATGATAATAAGAAAAAGAATTTAATTGAAGATGAGCAAATTGAAATAGGCAAGGTAAGTTGGTAGGATCGGAATTACTTTTCTCCAGCAATTAGAACACAACTTTTATTGTTTGTTTGATCTTAAAGATAAAACTTTCCATATTTCAAACGTATATTAAAGTGTTTGGAATAATAATGGCTTTGCTGACATTAGTATTTTTTTGTTTAACAACAACCTCAAATTTGGCCGCAAACATATGGTTGAAAAATTGGACTACCGATGTAACTAACGAAAACAACAATTTATCAAAAAATGAGAAAAATTTGTCTATTTATACAATTTTTGTAGTACTACAAGGTATGCACTTTTAGAATATTTAAGAGGTTTGTAAACTAAACACAGTTTGCATGTTCCTAAATACGAGAATAATTCTAATAAACACTAGGCGCTATTTAAGCAATCAGTATAACATAGATCGTTCATAATTCAGGTTTGTTTGCATTTTGTATGCAATTAGCATTGCAATGGGGTGCTTATCGAGCTGCGTGTAACTTACATCAATCAATATTAGATAGTGTATTACATGCTCCAATGATATTTTTTGAATCAACACCAATTGGACGCTTACTAGCACGATTTTCCAAGGATGTTAATTCTGTTGACACAGCATTATCAAAAGGATTATGTATTCTATTGATTAATTTAGTTACTATTTTAGCAACATTAATCATCATTGTCTATGTTTCGTATTACTCTATTCTGATAATTATACCACTCATAATCATATCTATAATTATTCAAGTACTTGAACACGTCTTTGATGTCGAAGTTGTAATTGAAAACAGTTTATCTTTTATTATTTTAGCATATTTATTCATTAACCTCAGTACAATTACGTCGTCTAGAATCAATATCTCGTTCATTTATTTGTTCTCATTTTGTTGAGACAATTCATGGTTTAACAAGTATAAGAGCATACAATGTTCAACAACGTTTTATTAATAAGTGTGATTGTTTAATAGATAGATATAATTCTTATTACTTAGCTGGATGGGTTACAAACAGGTCTGTATATGTTTTAAGAAATACTCATCCCTTCTTTTTTCAACTTATAACAGAATCTGGACGAAAAGTCAGATCGTCTTGAAATTATCACCTCTGCTAGAGAATGATGTTCTTTTGCATAGATTTTTTGCAGAATTTCTTCCAACAGTTTCTGAGGAAAAAGAAATGTAAGTTTTGCAGTTACACCCTTAGGGTTTTTCATAATTTTCTGAAAAATTGAAAATATAAATTTTCACAAAAATTAATCAAAATTTCGATGTTTTTGTTCTATATATCATTTGATGGAGCTCGGCGAGCTGATCAAGAATATCTATGTTTTAACTTTCCCACGCCAAATTTTAGGTTAACAAAAATTCAAAAAAATGTAGGAACACAAAATTTCAAAAACTCGCTACATTACGCAATATATAC